TAGCTTTACCCAGAAAGGAAATGCAGACTACTGGTAGAAACAGTGGCTGCTTGCAGATGTTAAAAAAGAAAGAAAGAAAGAAAGAAAGAAAGAAAGAAAGAAAGAAAGAAAGAAAGAAAGAAAGAAAGAAAGAAAGAAAGAAAGAAAGAAAGAAAGAAAGAAAGAAAGAAAGAAAGAAAGAAAGAAAGAAAGAAAGAAAGAAAGAAAGAAAGAAAGAAAGAAAGAAAGAAAGAAAGAAAGAAAGAAAGAAAGAAAGAAAGAAAGAAAGAAAGAAAGAAAGAAAGAAAGAAAGAAAGAAAGAAAGAAAGAAAGAAAGAAAGAAAGAAAGAAAGAAAGAAAGAAAGAAAGAAAGAAAGAAAGAAAGAAAGAAAGAAAGAAAGAAAGAAAGAAAGAAAGAAAGAAAGAAAGAAAGAAAGAAAGAAAGAAAGAAAGAAAGACCCTGGGGGGCCCAGTGTTCCTTGAAGGTGGCCACCGTCCGCCGCAGGACCGCGTGCTCAAACTCGAGCGAGAGATGGGCCCGCACCAGCAGGCGGAAGAGCTGCAGGGCGTCGACCATCCCGGTCCCGGCGAGCCGGTTTCGCTGGCTCTTCAGGGTGGCCATCTTGGCCTGGCCCAGCAGGAAGTTAGCTAGGCTGACCACGGCCCTCTCTGCTGCCCGGTAGGGGAAGGAGTGGACGTAGACGTCCTCAGAGAACTGTTGCTTTACTTGAAACTCAACACACTCCCGTGCTGTGCCCAGCACATGCCCAGACAAGGCAATGCATTAGTTGGGCCCGGCTCACCCAACATCTGTATAGATCAGACATTGAATCAGCTTTAGCTAAAAGCACCAAAAAGTCCCACTGAAGCACCCGATCTATACACATGCTGTGGAGCCAAGTCGAAGGAATGCATTGCTTCTTCCAGTAAAGCATTTTTTTTTGTTTGTTTGTTTGTTTTGTTTTTTAATGTCTTCATGCACCCATTACCTGGTAGAGCTATTGGCATTCTTCAAAGGGTTTGAAACCACAGTTCCGCTCAAGAATTTTACCATGGAGAGTCCAAATATAGTAAGATGAAAAATGGTTATGGATACAATATAAAAGACATATTCTTTCCACAAAACAGAAAGAGAACACTAAGCAGGAGCAGTGGGATGAGTAAAGGTCCTGGACTTCTGAAAGGGGTCGCCCAAAAACAAACAAGATGAGGAAACATATGGAGTTTCTTTAGTGCAGATGTGTGCTATTTGTGCTTAGAGCTGTAGCTCATGTGTTTTCTGTCAGTAAAGTGTGTATAATTAAGAAATCCGTTTAAAAGCTACTATGATATTTGCTTTAAGTATTAAGTAGGCTTTAGAAAGGGTTTAACTGTAAATAAAGAGTAGGACAGGTCAATGCTGGTCTTGTGGCTGAAGGCAGCTGGGCCCATAATCAGTCAGGGATGTTATTCAGGGAGTCTTTACCCTAGAACATGTATGAACATCTGGTCTGAGAAATGGTTCAGATTCTGTCAGTGTGGAAAGATGTGTTATAGGCTGGATCTAATGCAACTGCCCACTGTCCTACTGCAACAGGAAATTTAGCTAGGGCTGTAACATGATAATCTAAATTAAGTTTGCCCCTCTCTGCCTTTCCCCGAAGACGCTTGCATTTATTTTTTGCTTATATGATCCAAACAAGTATTCAGCCTGAGTTAGCTAGAATGAAAAAGCTCAGGTCAAATGGTTGAAGTGTGGCAGTTATACACAGCTAAATAAAAGACCTTATAATGGAAAGCATTAGGCATTCTTAGTTACAGGCATAACTGCAAGCTCTGCCTATAATAAAATATTTTAACACTGTTATTTAGTGTAGTATAACAAATACAAAGACAACATGAAGAATTAGTACAGCTGTTTGATTAACTGAATATTAAATAATACTGTGATTTAAGTCTATATTTAGTGGTGAATGGAAATTTTCTAGTAAATAACACTTAACTTATATTAGTCTAATGTAAGTATTCATTTACTTGCTGTTGACATATATTAATACATTCTGCATAGCTAAAATTCACTGAATTGAAATGTGTTCATACATAATACAGCAATGATACATAAGCCTTTATGGTAAAAAACTTGGTACAAATTATGGTTTGTAACTGAAAAGGAGAATTTGCCATGTATTAAGCCATTTCATTTTGTCATTTGTGTGCACTTTTCCTTAAGAGTGACGTTTTATGCTGGTATCCAAACAAAATTTCAGGTGTATAGAGAGCATCACAAACCTTATAGTCTCATTGGGCACATCCAGATAAGTGTGCATGTGTGGTTTGGGGCCCCTTAAAGTTGTTGAGGAGCTGCACACAGCACACATGCACTCATTCACTGCACTGCTAATTTGTAGGAAGCTGAGGGGAGTATCTGTTTGTGGAAAAACTGCCACTAAAAAAACCCAGCATGGCACATGCAGCAGCACTGTGAGCCGCCAGAAACAGCAGCTGCCAGAAACGGCAGCAGCATCTCCAGAAACAGCAGCTTGGCACTGCTGTTATCCACGGAGGTCCCCAGGACCCCAGGTAGGGCTGATGGGGCCAGCACAGCCTTCCCTATCCCACCTGGGTAATTTTTCCCCACTCTGGAGCATGTGTGCAAGGGTATGCTCTGGAACAAAAAGCAGTGGCACATATTTGTGCATGTGCACGTGCATACTCATTGGGGCGTGCCCATTTAGGCTTTCCGTCATAATGTAATTCCATCGTGTAAAATTGTAATGTATATAATTTATAATTCTTCTAGATGCCACCCCCCCCATATATATGTTACCTCATTATTCTGCCAGAACCCCACCCTGACTGTTCTATAGATCCTTAATTTCCTGGTGGGTGGGCAGAATGATTCTGCCTTACAACTACTGAATAACAGGATCAAGGATAGAATGCTATATGCATGGTGCACTTCAGTTCTCAGGTACCAGCAGCAGCATCACTGCAATCTCAATAAACTACATAAACTCTAAGTACCTAATTTTTACCAAAGCCATTTTTAAAGTGCCTGGGAACTATTATTTGCATTTTTCAGTTAAAGAAAAAGAAATACAGCATATGTTTATAATCATTTTAACGGTACACTCACAATAAATATTGTTTCAAGTAAGTTCAGTTGGTTTTATTTTTCATGCGGCATATAGTCATTAGAAGACTGCACACAATATAGTGTATTTGAAACTCACAAATGGATGCTGATCCTACTGTGGAATGTAAAAATGTTCCATAAGCTATTAAAGAGTTTAATCATTGTAGGAAGCTGAAGGAACTATCTGTGGAAAAACGGAGTAACAAATGGCTTGTGTAACAAAGGGCTTGAGGTTCCTACTTCATCTGTATTCGTGACTCACAGGATAGTCTTTTGTTTTCTTTCCAATTTAATTACTAAGCCATTGATTTTGAGTGATGATTTATCAAGTACAAAAATCAATAAAGATCCCATTTTAGAAAAATTGCATTTTGATGAATATCCAGTTGGACATAAACAAAAAGTGACAGTTGCATTGACACCCTCTTCTTTTCTAATAAAGGTGCATATGCAGATCTGTTCAGAACTCTGAAATGTGCTTTATATTAGGTTGGGGTGGGATTAAAATGCTGAATAATGAATATAGCCTGCAGGACAGAGCTTGCTTTTGAGCAATGGAGGAGAACATTTAGAGTAGAGCAGTCTGTGTTCAGAGTAGCTTTTTGCAAGTTGCATTCTACTCATGTTTTTAAAGCAAGGAACTAAAATAACTCAATTTATGAAGAAAGGGAAAACTCATGTAAGAACATAAGAACTGCCATGTACTGGATCAGACCATCAGTCTATTTTGCCCAGTACCCTCTGTCATCTCCCTCCCGTCCGCCCCGCTCCCCAACACTGTTTCTTTCTCACTTGAAGCCTCCAACATTTAAAATCTAGGGAGTTCTAATTCAGAGGCTGTCCGTAACTCCAATAGTCAATAGCTACTGATGCCTTTTTCCTCCAGTAATTTCTCCAGTCCCTTGTTGAAGCTGAACTGTCAGCTTCCACAACATCTGATGCCACACTTTAATTACACACTGACCACATCCACATGAGACAGACTGCACAGTACCATTGTGTGGCACAAAGCATGACACAATGCTACTGTGCAGAAATAACAAGCTAACGCATAGTCAGCATCACCAAAAAGCCATTTGGGGATGCTACTGCACAGTAACTCTGGTTACAACACAGTCATTTAGTACTCATGTATGCAAGTACTAAATGACTATACAGTAACAACTGCTCAATCAGCATCTTGTGTAGACGTTGCCACTTTGTGAAAAAGAACTTTTTTGTTAGTTTTAAAGTTACTCGCTATGGATGCATCCAGATGAGTGCGCCTTTGAGGTGCCACAAAGTGCACATGCACGCTTGTCTGGACGCACCCTATTAGTTTAAATTTTGTGACCCCTAGTTCTTCTATGAGAGACAGTAAATAATAAATGCTTGTTTACTTTCTCTTTGACATTTAGTATTTTGTAAACCCTTATCATGTCCCTGCTTGAATGTCTGTTTTATAACCTGAATAGGACTAGCCTTTTTAGTCTCTTCTCATATGGAAACTCCTCCATACCTCTAATTATCCTTGTTGCCCTTCTCTGTACCTTCTCTAGTTCTTCTATATCCTTTTTAAAGGTATGGGGACCAGAACTGGGCACAGTATTCAAGGTCTGAACATGTCTTGGATATATAAGGTGCATAATGATACTAAGAGAGCCTTAGAGATTTGTTTTATGTGAAATGTTACTACTTTGGAGTAAGCAGCATAAAATGTCCACCTTCCCCACCCTCCATCCCACCAAAAAAAGGTATTTTATTATACAGTGTTAGCAGCTGCTACTCCGTTCAAGTGCAGCAGAGTAGCTGGCAACCATTTACTGAAAATGTTTGCAGTATCTAAACATAAATTTCCAATGCAATCTCTTCTATTCACACCTAGGGAAAAAGGAATTTTAGGTGCCACACATTGTGTATTTCTTACCCTGGAACTGGGCATTAAATCCTTTTCGTCGGTGGTTACTGTCTGATGTGAAATGGAGTCGTAACCAGTTCTTACTGCTGATAACCGGAGAAGGCAGATTCATGCCAGTCAACCTGGGGGGAAAAAAGGATTCTCACTGAAGAAAGAGTACACCAAAAACTGTTATTTAGACTTAAGTAAAACAGAAGGCCAAGGTAAAGAGAAAATACATTACTACAGCATGCAAAATGTCTCTGACAACTGTAATGCATTAGCATCTAATATAAATATGTGAATAGTTTACTAGCTGTTTATCCTGAAGAAGGTTTTGCACTACAGCTAGTCATTCAAATGTTCAACTCATTTCTTCACAGTACTTTATTGTGAATAGAAAAGAGAACAGATATCTAATTGTTTGTTTTTAGTAGGTAACCTATTGACAGAGGACTTAGCAAATATGATAATGAAAAAACATCAAAAAGAATAAAAAGAGTTCATATTTATCTTAAAATAGAAGACAGAGTATCCTATCCTCCGAGAAAATTATTGACTACGTTCAATACAGACTAATAACAACAACAAATATATTTTAGAAGAAAAAGATGAATAATTCATCACAAAAATCTCCTTTACAAGGACAACCGGCAAGCAAAAAAACCCCACTTATTGTTAGAGCTGTGCAAAGCTTCAGGTGGTGATTCAATTTGGAGAAGATTCAGCCCAATTCGGTGGCCAAATCTGAATTGAATCAGGGGACCAATTTAAAGGTCCAAATTGATTTAAATATCTCCAAATCTTTGGCAAAGATTTGGAGAGCTTTGATGATTTAGCCAGTCCCCGGTGGCTGCAGCAGGGAGCTGCAGCCATTCTGAGCTGGTAAGTACTAAGGGGCAGGGAAGGGGGTGCTGGGGGAAGGGACCAT